GTGAGCTCCTGGTGAGCTCTACTTTTCCTAACTCCATCCATCTCTTCACACTCAGACATTCCTGCACACCATTTCTCTATTCCTTACAGGTCACCTACCCTTGTACGCTTCCTTTTTACATTTGGCTTTTGTCAGAAACACGTCTTGCATCCACACAAGCCTCCATTGACCTACGCTTGACTTCATGTTAGGAGGGACTGTTCTTGAGCATGAGGGAAGTAATTGCTGACAATCAGCCAGCTGGATGTCTGGATATTAAGGTGACACAGTATATTTGAGAGAGCTACAAAATACACCTACGTCTTACAGAGGAAATAGTTACAGACCACAGTTTTTTTCCACTAACATAGGAGACTTAATTTTCACATTTCCTTCTACTGTGCCTTTTGCAGGGTAAGGCAAATAAGATTTGGAATGGATGGGGAGCTTACTGCCTCTGTGGATTTTGTTGCTTTCGTAACTTTGTTTGTCATAACAGCATGAATTGCAATGGCAACATAATTCAGGAACAAAATAGCGTGTAACGCTTAAAATAACGTATAATAAAATATTGTAAGAAGTCTTCCAGACATGAACTGTCTCTGAACAGAGACATAAAGTGTAGACTTTGGTATTAATGACCAAGATTAAACAATCTACTATTCGAAAGGCAATCTTTCTGACTTTTTTTTTTTTAAATCCTTTTGAAAAATATGAAATTGTAAACTCTCCTACCAGCAACTGAATACAGAAAATTTCTTAAATTGTTCATAAATTAATGAATACATACATATAGATATATTTATTTATGCAATCTATCTATATGTATGCATATAATCAATGAATATAAAGATGTTGCAATTATGAAACAAACAAGAGAGTTTAGCTAAGCAGGTTATAATAACAAAAAAGAGAATAGATAGAGTGCTTACCCACGTCCTGGGCTCACTGCAAAACTCCAGAGGAGAGATCTCCAGAAGGAATCCTTCCCCACTGATAGTCAGCTCTTCAATGGGTCTAGCAGAGGTGCAGCCAGGCTCCACCCCTTCCAGCAGCACAGGTGAAGGCAATTCACCTGTGCTCCCGTGGCTGACTCATTGCTCACCTCAGGTGATCAATCAGAGGTTCAGGCTGTGATTCAGCAGTTCCCATACAGTACGTGTGTGTTTATACACATTTACACGCGTTTGTAAACAGATATGATCACTGTTACCCATTCTTGATACGTTCCCATGATGTTTTCCTTAAAGGCTCAGGGTCTTGATCAGGGAATTACATCAATCTCTATTTGAATTTTAAGTAAGAGGTAATTCTTACCTATCACGTTTAGAAACTCAGAGTATAAGCACTGTTCAAAACAAATGAGCATTTAAACTGGTAGGGAAGAATTTAAATGCTTCACAAGCTTTATCAAACAACACAAAACAAAACTTTCAGTTCAATTTATTTTAAGCTAGTATCCCAATTTTGGGGGATTTGCTCATGCAGATCTGGCAAGAGGTTATCACGAACTGCATTGTGATGGGGTTATTAAGGCCCACAGCAGAGGTGAGAAAGTGGGATGTCTCAGACTCTTGCTTTAGTCACTACAGGCCACTGAATTGAAGGCTCTGTCATGAAATGGAGGAGAGGAGAGAGAAGAATCTGACTGATGAGCCAGTAGCAATCCCAATAACAGAAGCAAAATGTAACAACTCCACTGGAGCAGAGATAGGACAGGATGAGCTTCTTTGGCCTTAGGGCTTTTCAATCTGCATGCTGCTCTCTGGGTATCCAGCACTACCCCCAGGTTAACTACTCCAGATGCCCGGTGTTGACATGGAACAAGAGGCCCTGAACAGGTCTTCCCCCCCATCAAATTCAAACAGCAGATGGAGTCCCTCAGGCTCAGACGTGCATTTGACAGCAAGAGTTAGGCCACACTAAATTTAATTTGTCCCTAAATCTTTGCTCTCTGTAAGCATTAATCTTCATGAATGATGGTAAAATAGATTATTGCTAGAGGAAAAAGTCTATCTGATTAACAGATTAAACTGAACCATTAGGCTCAAATCAGACATGCTACAACACATGTGCTGGTTGACACAGGATGATTTCTGGAGATATTCCTCAAGGCTCAGACACCTGGGCTAAGTGGCATCAGCCATGTCACAGCAAATGGGACAGAAACCTCTCCTCCTTCACAGAAAATCATGTCTATGAACAAAAGCAAGAAAGTTTGTACATCACCTCGGAGTTCAATTTTACTGACAGCTTATTAAGTCTTGTGCTTCTACGATGCTGAGAATTGATTTCTTCCTAGGAGAATATCCAGTCCTAGTCTTTGTGCTTAGACTTAAGAATACAAGAAAAACTTCCTACCTTGTTTGCAGTGTTATTGACACAGAAAATATTCAACCAGACCTCCTGCTGTGGGAGAACAGGAATGTAGCTGCTCCGAGGAGGAAGCTGCAGAGTAGAAGAAAAGAAATCAGTAGTAGGATAGAAATTAGGATAGGATAGAATAATAGATGTTGGCAGTCATGGCAGAAGTGATTGTGATGTGTACAGAGGCTTTGCTGAACCCACAAACATGTATCTGTTATGCCATCTGGCATGTGACAAATGCATTTCAGTCATCCCTGACTTGGGTTGATTTAAAGTGAGAGACTGAGTAGTAAAGAGCTCTGGGCCTCACTATTTCCACTGTGATTCCAACTGGATAGCCAACTTGTGATGCTAGTATTTGTTCTTTTCTTCCCAGGGATAGAATAATTATTACTTTAGGGGGAAAATTATCATTAAGAAATGCAGTGCTTGTTTGGTTGTTTTAAAGCATATTTAATTTTCTTCTTATTCTGAGAATTACTTCAATTAACTGTATGGATGTTAGATTTGTCTGTATCAGACTCTGTAAAAACAATCTAATAAATGCCCTCAATTTCTCTTCTAGAGTAATCTCATTAGCCTCTAAATGAACAAAATACTTAATTTGTTGCCATAGCAGTGAAATTTAGAGAAGTGGTGACCTGCATAGAGAACCAGAACAAACCTGACAAACATGTACTAGGACTATAAAAAAAATTAGAGATTGGCTTTACTAACTTTAAGAAGCAAGGGGAAATGTGTACCAGCCTGGTTGAATTAGATGTCTCTCCAATACCTTGGAGATTTTTAAATTATCTATAATCCCACACTAGTGCAGAATTGTCTACATGAACTACCTGCACTGCTAAAGTAAAAATACATTGTAGTGTGAGGAATTAGAAAGACGAGCATCAAAAAATAACCTTCTTAAACCTATCAAGGCATCATGGTCCAAAGGATAAGACAACAACATGGCAGACAAGGAACTCAGACCACAGTTTTTAGTTTGCTTTAGTATTTCTGAACTTAAGTAAAAACTTTTGGGAAAAGGCTCTGCTGTGCAAAGCCAGTGGCAAATAACAACAACAAAAAAAAAAAAAGGTGTGAGGTGTGAGGTTTTCCAGGAAGGAGGTGGAGAAAAAAAATGCATGATATTGAGCACTACTGTGATCATTGGCATTTTGCTGTGTGGGGTCCCTCTGTACCACGTTTGTGATCCCTGCCAAAGTGCAAGTCTCAGCCAAGAGACAACCAGTGTTGACTTACCTTGCTTATGTCTATAAAGACTGGCTTCCCAGCCAGTTTCAAGTCAGCTCAGTAGTGTCTCCTCCAAATGATGACACCAAATTGGCTTGTTCCAGACAGGAGTCCAGGAGTTACATACAATGAACTGAAGGGAGGATTATCAGAGGCAGGAGCCTTGGTGTAAAACAAGAATTTAACTCAATTGACATATTAAGGGCACCCTTAGAGCAGCCTGTAGGAAAGCTGCTGCACTTTAGATAAGTATGTCCTTATTTTTCAAATCTGTAGGCCCTTAAAAATATTGAAGTGGACATGCTGTGTAATCTATAAAGCAAATCAAAGTCTACTGACTGTTGGATTGATATACTCCAGCTACTTTTTGCAGACCCAATGAGTCTGAATACCACCAATTCTCTTAAATTAATAGAGTGAGCTCATGCAGAGTATCCATTCCTGAGAAGAGGCAATACAGTGGCTAAGAAGCGTCATGGTCACTATCTCCGTGACTATGATAGTTCTACTATCTCAGGTCTATTATGAGTATTTTACATAAATATGCACTGTCACATATAACTATTACCATGAGCCAAACATCCCAACATTTAATTCAAGACAAACCCATTTGTCTTAGTAGGAATTACTGTTGTTATGCTACTATGAAAAGATGGATTTCAGTGGTGATTTATTCTCATGTATGCATTACCTGCGTGCCTACCTGTAGCAAGTTGAAAGCTAGCATTGGTACAACTGAGAGAAGTGCAAGCCCTTGGTGTAGGTACATGATGAGAAACAAAGCAGGCACTCTTTCTCCAGCAGACTGCTTCCACCTACACCCAGCCTGCTGCACCAACCAAACCCGCATTAGGGACAACATCATCTTGGACAAGCACTTTATGCTTGGTACTCTCCTTTGGTACTACTACAGGAGTGTGATTCTGGTCTCTCTTTGCATAGCTCTCTGCTTATCCTTTCTCCCAAAGCACAGCACAATTGGGAAAGTCTAGCAGGAAGCCCCAGCACTGTGATTTGAAATCCATCAGCATTTGAAGCCTATAAGTGAAGAGATGTGCACCAAAAAAGCATTATTTTAAAATACCTGTGAAATATAATCCACATTGCTTTTAGGGAAAAATGCTTGAAATGGACTAGAAGCCTGGGAAAAAAAAAAGGTATTTACAAAGAATACTTATATTTCAAGCAGTCCTTTAGGTAAGGAGGTTCTAAAAATCCTTCCTGCTTCAATATAAACATCCCCACGTACTTATACTGCCAGATGTGATACACTGGATGACCTTTTTATCACATCTCATTCAGTGCAATTCTCCCGTGTCACTCACACTCATTACTCATTACAACCAGGCAAACTCACTATTCATTACCATAATAAAAAGAGACTAGTACAGCAGCTGAAAGATGATGTGTCTTACTGATTTATTTAGCTATTACCAGGTGAGACATGGAGGACAAAATTGGGTGCAGGACAGGCAGGCACACAGAAATGTTCAAAATGCTTTTTTACAAAAGATTCTGCAGAACAGCCTAATTGATATCAGTGGATATATTCATGGCATGCAAGAGCAGTGTTTTGCAGAGCGCTCTCCCGGATTCACTTCAGTTTCTGGCATGGATTTTTCCCTGGATAGGCCCTTATCCAAAACTCATTAAAATCTGTAGGAAAGTTTCCAAATGCATATCTGGGCCTCAGATCAAGATGCTGGATTCACTGACAAAGCTACAGGTTTGGGGAGGAAAAAAAAGACAACACTTTCACATTTTGTTGAATTTCAGACATCGCAAAAGGTTAACATCACAAATTTTTTTTCAAAGCAGACATGAAACCATTATTCCTTTATAACACAACATGACATAACAGATTCTACTTATTATGTTTATTTGAAACATTGTCTAGATTTTAAAGTATTTATCAGATTCTACTTATTATGTTTATTTGAAACATAGTCTAGATTTTAAAGTATCATTTTAATCATTTTAAACAGCAAGTGTGGCAAAATCTTTCAAATATCACAAATTTAAATGTACAAATTGAAAATGAATTCCTGCATTTGACAATCATTACCAATAGAAAAATATTTATCATGGTAGCAAATTAAATAGGGCAGGGGACACCAAAAGAATACGCCTAAAGGTCAGAGATAAAACTTTCAAGAAAACTGTCTTAAACTCTTAGAGTTTCTGTTTGAGATGAATATAAATGGAAGTACTATAAACATCATTCTTTTGTATTTTCTCTCGTCTGTTAAGCAGAAGAATGGACTCACCACTACTTTGTCTCAGTGCACCTTTAACATCAAGATCTACATCTACAGTATCTGCAAATGTATACAGCTTTCTGTCCCACAGGACAAATCACAGTGTGTGAATGCACAGTTTTGCAGAATGGGAGATTTAGTCATATTCTCTATGTAGACCTTCTTTATTTTTCATTCAGAGGCAACACATAGAACTTGAACTCATTTTTCAGTAAATTTGTTTAAAACAGGCCCTCAAGTCCCTGTATTCTCCCCTTCAAGAGATTCCAAGTTAGGTGCATTACAGCTTACCGCAGCTTACAGATCTTAATTTCAGAGGGATGTTTTTTATTCCATTTTATAGCTTGGAAGGTGGTACAGGATCCATCCAGCTGGTCCAAGAACTGCCAGTGAAAATGCTGAGAATCCAATGATTGTCTCCTAAGTGAAAAGAAATACAGTTAAATAAAGCTAAACAAACTGGAGTTCTTCCAGGGTAAGCAGTCTATTGCCAACCAAATTATGGGATATTATTGAACTTCTGCATCTATATTTCCACAGATGCGATGATTGCAGAGGAAAAATAATCCACAGAGGATTAATTTGTACGTTTGAACTAGAAACATAGTAATCTGTGTCAGTTGAAAAAAAATTATTTATTCCACATCTTGCACAAGCACACATACACAGAGCGCAATTAAAAGCATTCATAAGAGGTGTCAGATCTTCCATTTTCCTACAGAGTTGATACATTTTGTGCCTACTTATTGGGCTTTTTATGCACATTATCTTTATTGAAGCAATACTATTCGCTTGATAGTTTCTGTAGCATAGCTTTCTACCAGTCATATATGAGAACTCTGGGCACCTACTAACACTGGGAGATTATATAGTAGAGCAGAGAGTTGCTGCTGAAGATTTAATAATTAATTAAATGTCTTCAATAGTCTCAGGGTACTTCTGCTGGAGAGCATAATCAAGGCTCATAAAGAAAATTATAGAATCACAGTTTTAGTTGGAAGGCACCTTAAAGGTCATTTAGTCCAAATCCACTGCAATGAGCAGGAACACCTACAGCTAGAGAGCCGTAAATGAGCTCTCCACAGAGATGGGGTTTTGTCACACGTCTCTCAGTAGGATGCAGTGAGAGCATCCCCATTCTTCCAGAACGGAACTTGCTGTCCAGGAGGTGGTGAAAGGAAATATTTTGTGAGTGTAGAGAAGTCCCTGGGAAGATTCTGGGTTTCTAGTAAGGGTTTGGGGCAGGTGTGAACAAAACCTATGTCGTCCTCACAGAAAAGAGCAGCAAGAGGAAGCTCTTCAGAAAAGACTGAGCCTTAGCTCAAGCTATGCGTGAAGAAAAGACGTGAGAGCACAAGGCACTTACCACCGGTCCCACTTTCCCCTCTGGTGGAGAGCTGTGGATGCTGTGGCCACTCCAGCGGGCAGGCCTGAGGCGGAAGAGCAGAGATGTGTGGTGCACTGCCCGGACCATTGCTTTATCCCAGAAAGCAGCGTGGGGAATCCTAGGAAGGAAGCAACTACTGCTGTGAGAAGCTTCACAGCCCTTTCCTACTTTCTACTGCTCAAAGTCTGTAGGATGCTGAGTAGTGTTCAGTCCCACTTGACAGTCAAGCACCTTACTTTTAAATTAGATGCGTAAAGCACCAACATAAGCCAGACTGCAACAGGCAGCAGGTGCCCTGTGGTCAGCAGCAGCAATGTGTGTGTGCTGCTGGGTGGGAGGGAAACACTCCAGATCATGCAGGCACCTCCTACAGCTCAGTGATGGGGAGGTGTCTGCCAGCTACTGCTGCTGCACAAAATGGGGAGAAATGCTGGTTTTCAGATCCATGAAGACCTTAACATCCTCCTTTTCCCCATAGTCACTGAGGTTATTTGCACAGAAAACTATATGCTCTGAAATTCCTATGTACTCACGCTTGTCATTCATTTATCACCTTCAGTCTGACCAACAAAGACCAGTCCCTGTCCCCACTGAAGAGTACAATACCTTCCTCCACATCCTACCCAAAATGTTGCTGGTCCAGGTGCAGCCGAGCAGCCTCTGGGCTACCAGGCTTCCACAGCAGAAAAAGATCACCTGTCTGCATGCAGCCACCTGCCCAGGCCCAGCACCTGTCAGTGTGAGTGACAGAGTGGAAAGTAGGAAAGAATGCCTCCAGCATTACTCACAGGGGCTGTTTGAGTAGTGGCTGTGCAGGGATACATGCCCACTGTGCTCTCAGAGTCATGGTGGTAGCACTAGACCAGAGCTGAGGAGCTGTTAGCCCAGATCTGTGCTAATTTGGCAACTTGGCTTGCAACTGGAGCTGGTGTATAACTAGTCAGCTTTCACCAGCAGCAATCAAGCATTCAGCAGTCTAAGCACATCTGTGTAAAATGTGCTCCTTTTACATGCAGAGGCTGAGAGGCACAAAAGCAAATAACTCTCCTCTCTGCTACAGTGTACTATTTCTATTCCAACTATTTTTTATAGATGAAATCTGTCTCCTACATGCAGACATGGAAATTTTCATTCAGTTTAGTAAGTGTGCAATGCGTTAGATTCTCTATTCATTTGACTAAATACAGTTTATGAATTTCTTCTGTTCTTCCTTTTGCCTTCAATTTCCAAAGCTTACAGCAGACAACTGTCATCCTTCTCCAGGTTTTCACCAAAATATATCCTCAGAGCTCACTTCCAATGCAGCCAGCAGCGCGGTGGTGGTGGTGAGATCCTCAGCTTGAGTTTTTTGACAACATGCAGAATATGTTAGCAAGGTGTGAAGAGCAAAGAGTTGGCAGTCTACACAAACAAACAATACTGGATCCCTGATTGAGCAGACACGGCTGGTGTGAATATTGTCAGTTCTGGGGTTTTGTTATCTCAGTACATTTGCTTGCTTAATTTTATGGAGGAAGAGACAAAAGGTTTTATTCCTGTAAATCCTCCCCATTCACTGAATATCTTACCTGAGCAAAACAGGTAGAGAATTTGTCTATAAATAAATATATGAGAGGCATGTGTAGAGTAACTAGGGAGCAAAAGACCAAATTGCACTCAAAAGCTGTGGTGATATCAGATAAACACGCAACAAATAGCCCAAATCAATCAAAACTCCTGAGCCATTCCCTGTAACATGAAGATGTTGTGCTAGGTATATACTCTTGAGCTTTTTAAAATAGTGGTTGTCAGGTTCTTCTACTCGCTTGGCATTCACATTTTCTACATGGAAAGTGTACTTTTGTCTGCAGCTGTGATAAGAGGCTAAATAAACTCCTTTCATCTTCCAGCTATCTACCTGCACAAACCTCACCAGAATTACTTGACCTTACCAAACTTCACAATTGTTTTCCGAATCTCTGAAGGTTCACTAGAAAATGAGACAATCCCATTTCTCTAGCTAACCTTCAGACTGCTCAGCTGTACAATCCAAGCCAATCTTACCACTACTGTAGACCTTTGCACACCACAGTGCTGCACCCTGGCAGTTGTACGTTTTTACATAGCAGTGGATAGCACGTAACAGGCTTTCCCTAAAAAAGACTCCGCTTTCCCTAAAAAAGACTCTTGGCTCAGAACTGGCCCTTCCCCTTTTCAATTGCTCTAAGTCTCATTGGCTACATAGCACTCCAGGCTCACCTGTAATCTGCTTGCATTGCCAGATCTCCATATAGCACATACATGCAGCTTTTGAACTGAGTTTTCCCACAATATACTTAGGTTTGCAGAGCCTCTTGCCAATCCTAAGTTTGTTATTTCTACCTTCAGGAGCAGAAGGACTTTCAGGCTCTTCTGGCTGGCTCCGATTATCCAGCACCCCTCTTCTCTATTAACTTAAAAACATATTTCTATTTTTCTGGTCCCATAGGACAGCTCCTTTGTTCTTTTCGTATTTAAAGAGTATTTGTTCCTTAGACTGCAACCATTGGGATCATTCAACTCCAAGTTACTGAGGTTCTTTCTTACACATTCACAACCAGGACCATTTCCTGACAGGCAGCTGGGAGGTCAGAGCACAGGTGGTACCATACCCAACAGTGTCCCAGCAAAGCACTTCCACGAGACATCCACAGTACAGAACTAATCCTGTGGTGCTGTAGTTCACTTTCTCCTTCCTCTGCTACTTGTGGAAAGCTGCAGATAACTGCATAAAGCTGTTTGAACAGTTTTACGTCAGCACGAAGCCCAGTGTTTATTTTATTTTAAAAAACTGAAGCAGGTGTGCAGGATGTTAATGCTTATTTGTATTTTCTACTGTACTCAGTTTCAGAATATCACTTGAGGGAAGAAAACCTGCTGCACAGATAATTTTTAACTGCCTTAGACATTGAAACTGAAATCCTTATTTCAAAGACAATGAAGATTTATTTTTGCTTACAGGAAATCATGACACAGAGGATCAACTAGATTCTCCAACCTTAGTGGTAAACCCTATGAAAGAGCCAGAAAATGATCATTTTGAGCTAAACTCAGCACAGACACCTTCCAGACTGTCCCTTCTCCCTGCAACTTTCATGGGCAATCAAACCACTGTAGTATGCAATCACAACATGTTGCTACCCCTTTCAATAGGTCAAGTGCCTTATTAAACTGGGTGCAGAATTACAACCCATGTTGATATTTAACTGAAAAAGTAGTCTTCAGGACTTCTTATCACCAATCTTCAGGATGGCAGGTTTTCCACTCCTTGCAAAATATGTACAATGACCTCATTGGAGAGAGATTTCTTAATTCTTTTTAGTATTTTTTTTCTGGTTTATCAATCTTTAGTAAGATTCTCCCAAATAAAATCCTTGCTACTGCATTTGAAATCCTATTTCTGTCTTTGCTATTTCACAGATGAAAACATTTCAATTGCACTGGACTAGTTCCTGAACTATTGCTATGATAAAATATTAAAAATGCTTCAAAAAACAGAGGAAGTCAAAATAGGTGTTTTACAGCAATGTAAATTTAGAAAAGTTGTATTCATGGTGAGTGGTATTTAATCAGTAAAACTGATTAAATGACAAAACTTGAACATCCAATTTTGAATAGAAGTAATCATAATTATGTTGGGATTTTTGATGGTTTTTGTTTGCTTGCTTTAGTTTGATTTAATGAGAAAAATTACAGTAGGGCCAACTTCTAAGGCTTCAACTTTCTTACTGCAAGTTTTGTAAATGGAACCAAATCAATCCTATTTCTACTACTAAGACACTCCATATAACATCTAACCTCAATGAAATGTAATACATTTGATACTTATAAATGTGTCTGCTGCCAACAATATTCTTTTTTTTTTTTTCTTTTTTTTTTTTTTGCATAAATTGCAGATCAGTAAAAAGAAGAATAAGAATATAGAGAAGTTTGTGTTGATTTTCCTCTTAGTTACTTCTTCAATACAGAACAACACATGCTCCAGCTTGCAAATAGGAACTATTCTGAAGTCTATTTCTAGGCAAGATTCAGTCTAGATGCATTTTAACATAAATTCATGACCTTTTCATTCTGAGATATGTTGAAACTCTTGTTTGAGCCACAAAGGCTCTTAGAAAGTCTTCTGGGAAAAATGCTGAAAATGTTTTTACAAATGCAGCAATGTTACTTGGCCACACTGATTCCCAATCTACCTAAACATAGAATCATAGAAACATAGACTCACCAAGGTTGGAAAAGTCGTCTAAGGTTATCCAGTCCAACCATCCACCTTTCACCAATATTTCCCACTAAACCATGTCCCTCAGTACAACATCCAAACATTTCTTGAACACCTCCAGGGTCTGTGACTCCACCACCTCCCCAGGCAGCCTGTTCCAGCACCTGACCACTCTCTCAGAGAAGAAGTATTTCCTAACATCCAATATGAATCTCCCCTGGTGCAACTTGAGCCCATAATGCCACTACACGTGGATCACCTGGATCTCTTCAAGCCACTACCTGGGCTTTTCAGTGCCAATACTGCCACCTGGGATCTGTACAGCTGAGGCTCATTCCAGTTTTTAACTAGAAGAGCTCATTAAATTTGGTTGTTCCTGAATTACAAGGGTGTGTGAAAGAAAGGAACCAGGTGCTGGAATCAGATGCATAATCCAAAATATACCTTGTTCAAGAGCATTTCCAAAGCACTCTAAATTACACTCAATTCATCATTACATTTGGAATTTAAAAAGAAGGAAGGAAAGAAAGAGAGAAACAGTAAGTGTATATATATGTATATACAGAGAGAAAATATGCAGTTGATTTTGCCACCATATTATCATGAGAACGATGCAGGTGTTACTCACATAAAGAAACAATGGCTCTGGATGCAGAGAGTTGTAAATGCTGAGGAGGAGAGAACATGAGAGGTAGAGGAAAGCAGTGAGGGACCTTGACATCAGAGCCAACTGCTTTGGTTCCTATTCTCAAATCCATTTGATTTGAGGAATACAACTGATGGCATATGGAGAGGTCATTCTGTGTTAGTGTCTCAAAAAGACTACTGTCAGACTTTTTCCTTCGACGTTCAAGTACTACAGAAGTTGTGAAGCTGCCCTTGCTGTGATTCAGAGCCTGACCACCGAAATCTAAGTGTTTAGGATGAGTTCATCACCAGTTGTCAGAAATTAATTCCACATCCCAAATTGCACTCATGATATACACAGGCTGAGGAGCAACTAGGATCACTCCTCTCACTGTGATCCTTTCTCCCTCACAAAGGGAGAAAGAACTGAATTACTCAGTTTATCATCATATAGAGAATAATAACTTTCACAGAGCATAGAAGATAAAAGGTAACAGAGAGGAAAGCATGTTTGAGAGAACCTCCTTGATGGATATCTTAAGGGCAGTAAGATGTCATACACTTAGATCAAGAGCAAAGCATTTTAAAATGGGGAACATACTTGCAAGTTTTGAATGAATGCACTAACAAGAAAAACTCCACAAAGCTAGTAAGGGCCTAGTTGTCTCCTCCTAGGTAAGTCCTAGTGATTACCGTATAGAAACACAAAGAAAGTTTTGTATGTTGTTGCCTAAAGTTCATTAAAGTTGTGTACTGGTTTGGGCAGGGTTTAGGG